CCCAGGGATGAGCACAGCGGTGACCCCTACCACAGCGGCTATGACATGCCCTACAGCGGGGGGGGCGCCGGCCCCACCTACGGCCCCCCCCAGCCCTGGGGGCACCCCGAAATGCACGTCATGCAGCACCACATCCTCCCCATCCAGGCCAGGTAAGGACTCTGACCCCTGATGTGTCCCCTCAGCACCCCAAAACCTATTTGCCGCCCCCCAAATCCTTCTTCACTCGTCCCCAGAATCCTGAGCCCCCCAAATCGGGGAGCCCCGGCTTGGCCCTCAGCACCCAGCTCCCTCCCCGTGTCCGCCCACCCTTGAGCTGCCCTGTAGCACCCCAAAACTCACCCATAATGGTCTCAAACCGACCCATAATGGCCCAAATCTCCCGGTAATGGCCCCAAACCGGCCCCAAACCACGTGGTGATGGCCCCAAACCACCCCAGACCAGCCCAAAGTGCCCAGTAATAGTCCAAAAGCACCCTATAACAGCCGAAATCACCCTGTAATGCCCCAAAACAGTCTAAATCACTAGCTAATGACCCTAAACCATCCCAAACTCGTTCAAATCAACCAGTAATGCCCCCAAAATGGCCCAAATCACCCGGTAATGGCCCCAAACCACCCTGTAACACCCCAAATTGCCCAGTAATTACCCCAAACCGCCCCATAACAGCCCTGAGTTATTCTATAAGGCCCTGAACTGCCCCATAGCAGCCCCGAGCTGCCCTATAATGACCCAAATTACCCAGTAATGACCCCAAACCACCCAGTATCAGCCCTGAGCCACCCTGTAAGGGCCTCAGCTGGTCTGTAGTGTCCCTGAGTTCCCCTGTAACAGCCCCAAATTGCTCCTTAATGGCCCCAAAGTGCCCTGTAATGGCCCCAAGCCCCCGATGACGTCCCCGAACAGCCTCATAACGTCTCTGAGGCACCCAGTATCAGCCTAAAATGCGCCCTAAGGGCCCCGAATCACCTGGTAATGGTCCAAACCGCCCCATAACGGCGCCAAACTGCCTTGTAAGGGCCTCAACTGCCCTGTAACAGCCTCAAATTGCCCAGTAACAGCCCAAATTCTGCCCTCAGGGGCCCCGAGCACCCCCGTAAGCCCCAAAACTGTCCCGTAAGGGCCCCAAACCACCCCATAATGTCCTTGAGCCACCCAGTAACAGCTCAGATGCCCTATAAGTGGCCCAAACAGCCTCGTAAAGGCCCTGAACCATCACGTGAGGGCCTCAACTGCCCAGTAACAGCCCAGGATCCACCCCAAGCCCCCCCCGTAAGCCCCCCAACCTTCCCCATAACATCCTCAAACTGCTCCGTAACATCTCTGAGCTGCCCAGTAGCAGCCCCAAATGCTCCATAATTGCGTTGAACCAGTACATAAAGGCTTTGAGCCACTCTGTAAGGATGTCACCTGCCCCATAATGGCCCTAAACTGCCCCATAATGGTCTAGATTGCACCATAAGGGCCCCAAACTGCTCCGTAGCAGCCTGAACTGCCCCATAATGTCCTAATCTGCCCCATAACGTCCTTGAACTGCCCCTTAGTAGCTCCAAACTGCCCCACAATGGCCCCAAACTGCCCCCTAACAGGCCCAAACAGCCTCGTAACATCCCTGAGCTGCCCCATAACAGCTCGAAATGCCCCATAAGGGCCCCAAACCGCCCGGTAACGGCCCCAAATCTCCCCATAAGGACCCCGTAAGTGCTCCCAGATCATCCCCGTTTCGGGGATACCGACTCTGGTGTGTCCCCCCACCCCCCCGCCCCCCAAGCAGACTGGGGAACATCGCGGAGGTGGACCTGGGGATGGCTCCCCCGGTGATGAAGAGCTTCAAGGAGTTCCTGCTCTCGCTGGACGATGCGGTGGACGAGACGGAGGCCGTTAAGCGTTATAACGACTACAAGCTGGATTTCCGCCGTCAGCAGATGCAGGATTTCTTCCTGGCTCACAAAGACGAGGAGTGGTACGTCGGCGGGAGCCTCCCCAAAAAAGCCCCCCCCCCTCAAAAA